TAATATGATTATAACAACCACGACTATTATTATAACAACCACGACCATGATTATAACACCCACGACCATGATTATAACAACCACAACCATGATTATAACAACCACGACCATGATTATAACAACCACGACCATGATTATAACAACCATTACGATGATATTAACACTCACGACCATGATTATAACAACTATGACCATGATCATAACCACGACCACGATTATAACAACCACAACTATGATTGTAACACCCACGACCATGATTATAACAACCATAACCATGATTATAACAACCCCGACCATTACTCTAACACCCACAACCATGATTATAACAACCACATCTATTATTATAACAACCACAACCATGATTATAACAACCACGACCATGATTATAAAAACTACGACCATGATCATAACCACGACCATGATTATAACACCCACGACCATGATTATAACAACCATGACAACGATTACAACAATCACGACCATGATTATAACAACCACGGCCATGAATATAACAACCACGACCATGATTATAACAACCACGACTATGATTATAACAACCACGATAATGATTATAACAACCATGACACGACTATGATTATAACAACCACGACCATAAATATAATAACCACGCCCATGATTATAACAACGACGACTATAATTATAACAACCATGACCGAGATTATGACAACCACGAATATGATTATGATAACCAAGACTGTGATTATAAGAAGCACGACCATGAATATAACAAGCCGACCATGATTATAACACCCACGACCATGAGTATAACATCTACGACCTTGATCATAACCACGACCATGATTATAAAAACCACAATTATGATTGTAACAATTACGACCATGATTATAACAACCGCGACCATGATTAAAACAACCACGACTTTGATTATGACAACCATGACTATGATTATAACAACCACGACCATGATTATAACACCCCACAAACATGATTATAAGAACCACAACTATGACTAAAACTCCCACGAACATGATTATAACAACCACGACTTTGATTATAACAACCACGACCATGATTAAAACAACCACGACCATGATTATAACAACTACAACCATGATATTAACCACGACCAAGATTATAACAACCACGACTATGATTATAACAATACGAACATGATTATAACAACTAAGACCTTGATCACAACCACGACCATGGTTAAAACAACCACGACCATGATTATAACATCCACGACTATGATTATAACAACCACGACTATTATTATAACAACCACGACCATGATTATATCACCCACGACCATGATTATAATAACCACAACTATGATTATAACACCCACGAATATGAATATAACAAGCACGAGCAGCCGAGCATGAATATAACAACCACTACCATGATTATAACAACCACAATAATGATTTTAACACCCACGAACATGATTATAACAAACACGACTATGATTATAACAACCACGACCATGATTAAAACAACCACGACCATGATTATAACAACCACGACTATGATTATAAAAACCACGACCATAATTATAACAACCATGACTATGATTATAACGACCACGACCATGATTAAAACAACCACGACCATGATTAAAACAACCACGACCATGATTATAACATCCACGACTATGATTATAACAACCACGACTATTATTATAACAACCTCGACCATGATTATAACACCCACTACCATGATTATAATAACCACAACTATGATTATAACACCCACGAATATGAATATAACAACCACTACCATGATTATAACAACCACAACAATGATTATAACACCCACGAACATGATTATAACAACCACAACTATGATTATAACAACCACGACCATGATTATAAAAAGCACGACCATGATTATAACAACCACGACTATGATTATAATAACCACGACCATGATTATAAAAAAAATGAAAAATACGACACGGTCGTAACAATATATATATATATATATATATATATATATATATATATATATATATATATATATATATATATATATATATATATATATATATATATATATATATATATATATTCTTCTTCTAAACCAGTATGCCACAGTAATTGGGAGAACATAATTCCTCTACCTTTACCAATGTGTATATGGTGTTTATATATATATATATATATATATATATATATATATATATATATATATATATATATATATATATATATATATATATATATGCAAGTAAATCACTCTAGGTGCGCGTGATCTAGGTATATGCTGATAACCACAAGGAAAGAAGAACACGTTCCCAAGCGCTTTCGTGTAATTCACATCTGTACTCGCCCTGAAGATGTGAATTACACGAAAGCGCTTGGGAACTTCGTGTTTTCTTCTTCCCTGTGGTTATCAGCATATATATATATATATATATATATATATATATATATATATATATATATATATATATATATATATATATATATATATATATATATATATATATATATATATATATATATATAACTGCCAGTCAGGCGGTTAAGGATATTTAGACTCTTAACTTAGTACTTGAACATTATAATTCGGACAAACCTCTTGAATGCAATTCATTTAGTATTTCAAATAAGTCATACATAGGCACTCCTACATAAATGTTTAATCCAATATATATTTACATAACAATCATGGCTATGTAATTAGTCTAATCTTAACACAAAAACAGTGAGTACTCAATTTGCCATATTTCTATATTGTCACACTGATCAATGGACACAATCTACCTGTGTACACAATAAGTACTAGTTAAACTTTACTTGTTGAAAGTCTAGAGAGAAGCCAGGGTAGGTGTTGACTCTAAGATATGGGTAGCTATACTGAAATGCCCACCCCATAACCTGGCCCCCTGGCTGGTCAGCTATGGCTGAGTCAGGTGATTATAATTATACATAAACAAACTCCCTTCACACCCTCCAACCTCCTTCTGGGCCTCTCATCTTCAACCATCTCAACACTCTACATACTGTATACGGGCAGGCACACCCAATAAACATGATATGTCTTACAGCCTAACATAATATTTGTTTATGTGTTTGTTGCTTGCGGTAACACCCATTCCGTTGAGCGTTCACGTTCAAAACCATGTCAGGTCTTTGATACTTAATGCTTTGTCACGTTCTTGTGACCATCCTGCCCTCAGGCTGATGGTACTTATCAGCTCCTTAGGACATCTCGGTCCTTTGTGCCCTCAGGCTGATGGTATTCAACTTTAATTTTGTCACGTTCTTGTGACCATGCTGCCCTCAGGCTGAAGGTATTCAACTTTAATTTTTGTCACGTTCTTGTGACCATGCTACCCTCAGGCTGATGGTATTCAACTTTAATTTTGTCACGTTCTTGTGACTATGCTGCCCTCAGGCTGGTGGTATTCAACTTTAGTTTTGTCACGTTCTTGTAACCATGCTGCCCTCAGGCTGATGGTATTCAACTTTAATTTTGTCACGTTCTTGTGACCTGCTGCCCACAGGCTGGTGGTACTTATCAGCTCCTTAGGATATCTCGGTCTTTTGACGTTCGTACATCACCATCTTTATGTGTGGATACCCAATTCATTCTCCTGGCCGACTCCGTCAACCCTTTCCATTGCTCCCTCCAACAAGAATAATTTTGTCACAGGTCGCAACATTGTGGACGTCGTCGTCTTAACCACTGCCTGTCGGACAAGTCCATCCTCGCCAGCCTTGATTTCCATCACTCGACCAAGGTGCCATTTGTTGCGTGGACTATTTGCTTCTGCTATAATGATTAGGTCAGCAGGGCGAAAGTTGCGCCGTGGTCTGAAATGCACTTGTCGAGTTCTGAGTTGAGGGAGGTACTCCGTCAGCCAGCGCTTCCAAAATTGATCTGCAAGGTACTAGACATGCTTCCACCTTCTGTGGTATGATTCGCCTATTGACCTTCCACTTAAGGGAAGATTACCTTTTTGACTTAAATGCAAAAGATCAGTAGGCGTGAGAGCCTTTGGTTCATTTGGAGTGTTTGGAACCGGGGTGATTGGCCTCTCGTTAACTATGGCTTCCACTTCACAGAACAGTGTTTGCAGACGTTCATCGTCTAAAACTTGTGAGCCCACAATCGCCTGCAGAACCTTCTTTACTGTGCGAATCTGCCTTTCCCATACTCCCCCCATGTATGGGGCAGCTGGTGGATTGAAGACCCAGTCAATATCTGCTTTCAGTAAGGCACCTCTGAGTCTGTCATCTTGCTCCCAACTTTTCACTGCCAGTTTGAGCTCTTTGGCTGCCCGTACCATGTTTGTCCCATTATCCGACCTAATACGCTCTGGTGTACCTCTGCGTCGTGAGAACCTTGTTATTGCGTTGAGGAAGGCATCTGCGTCTAATGAGGCCAAGACTTCTAGATGAACAGCCCTAATAGTTAGACATGTAAACAGACATCTCCAGCGCTTAATCTGTTTCCTCCCTACCTTGATAATGAATGGACCAAAACAGTCCGTTCCAGTGTAAGCAAATGGAGCCTTTCCAGGAATGACACGATCTATTGGTAAGTCAGCTTGCCTTTGATGCCGACTTCTCCAATTGCACCGTCGGCACACTACACAGCGTCGTATGATTCTATCAAGCAAGCGTCTGCCCTGGGGAATCCAATACCTTTGCCTCACACACGCCATCGTGTGTTCTCGTCCGGCATGTCCGGCTCTCTCTCCATGCATCTCCCGCACTATGATTTCGGTGATGTGGTGGTCTCTAGGCAGCAAGATTGGTTCCTCACCACTTCGCCCAAGAAGGGTTCCTTTAATTCTTCCCTTTGATCTGAGCAACGTTCGCTCGTCCAAGTAAGGTTCCAGTTTATATAGCTTATTGTCCTTCGGCAGCTCACTCTTTATGACAGTTTGGATTTCTTTCTCATAAGCCTCTTTCTGCACCAGTCATATAATTGTCTGCTCAGCCGACTGTAGTTCCTCAGTGCTTAGCCTCTTCAGTTTGAGGCGCAGGTCTGCGGTCCTTGTACTAGATCCAAGCCACCAAGCGGTACCATGATGAGTATCTGAGCCACAGTTTGGCGAGGGACCACTTTGACTGCTCGCTCACTGCCAGAGCAACTACAGATCTCTGGTGTACTTCTCGTTTCACCTCCAGTAAGTCGTTCAGAACTGCTGGCAGTTCCTTTCCCTTTGGCCACCGTTCTTCAACACTGAGTAGAAAGTCAGGACCTCGTATCCACCGAGATCCTGCAACCAGGTCCAGGACAGGTAATCCCCTAGTTGCATCATCTGCTGGGTTCAGCGATGTGCCGTCATGTCTCCACTGGTCAGTTCTTGACAGCTCTTGTATGACTGCTATCCTGTTGGCTACAAACGTTTGAAATCGTCTGCTCGAATTGGAGATGTACTGCAAGACTAGCATGCTATCCATCCAAAAATAAGATTCGTGTATGGTCATGGTCATTTCTCGGCGAATCGTTCGATCAGCGTTCACTGCCAGGACAGCTGCACAAAGTTCCAGCCTTGGTATTGTTAGTTGCTTGAGTGGGGCCAGCTTGGCCCATCCGTACACAAAAGAGCACTGGATACTTCCGCCAGAGTCTACCAGTCTCAGATAGGTCACTGCACCGTAAGCAGCCTGCGATGCATTGCAGAAGGTGTGCAACTGTGCTGAGATGATTTCTTTAGCACATGCTGCTTTTAGGCATCTGGGTACCCTTAATTTCACTGGGTGGGCCAGTTCTCCTAGCCAGGTGCTCCAGGTCGTGTGATTAACAGCCGACAAAGGTTCGTCCCACCCTAATCGACGCCTGCATTCACACTGAAATAATATTTTAGCCTTGATGATGAATGGGGCCACGAACCCCAGTGGGTCATAAATAGAACTGACCAGGCTTAGTACTCCTGTCCTGGTCGCTGGCCTTGAGTTTGGTTGCACCTTGATGGCGAGCTGATCACCTTCTAGGAGTCACCTAACCCCCAGGGCTCGCTCCATTGGCAATTTGTCTTGCCTCAGATCAATTTCCTTCAGTGCATTTTGCCTCTCCTCCGGTGGGGTGGTAGCCAACACTCCTTTGTGATTACTGGCCCACTTAGTTAACCGAAATCCTCCACACGCCAACAGTCTTCGAAGCTGACACGCTAACATTGATGCTTCATTTGATGAGTCCAGCGACATGAGCAGGTCGTCAACGTAGAAGTTGACATCTGCTTGCACCACCATGTCGGGAATCTCGGATCTGTGGTCTTGGAATGTGTGCCGGAGAGCGTAAGTTGCACATGAAGGGCTCTACACCCCACCAAAGATGGGCACCTTCATCCTGTAAGTTACTGGCTCTCTACTCAGGTCCCCATTCTCCCACCAGAGGAATCTTAACGCATCTCGATGTTCTGGCGCTACATGGATTTGATGGTACATAGCCTCCACATCTGCAATGATGGCTGTAGTTCCTTGGCGAAACCTAAACAGGACTCCAAGTAATTTGTTGTTGAAGTCTGGACCTTGTAGTCCCTGGTCGCTCAGCGATGTCCTTTTGTGTTTGGCTGCACAGTCAAAAACTATGCGTACTTTGTTTGGCTTATTTGGGTTCAACACCGGGTGATGAGGCAGATGCCAGACCAGTCCAGTATCTGACTCCAACTGGCACTTAGGCACTGATTCAGCATATCCTTCAGCAAGCAGTTTATTTATTTCCTCTACGTATCCTTGTCGCAGCTGTGCGTCCTTGGATAGTCTCCTTCGAAGCCCATCTAGTCGACTCTCCTCCACGGCCTTGTTGTTTGGGAGTTCCGTGTTCTCATTACGGAACGGTATGGGAAATTGGTAATGACCATTAGTTTCGATGCCTGTCTCTGACCATAGCCTCAACACTCTTTTGTCCTCAAGTGAATGAGCTGCTGGCTGCAAGGCTCCTGTGTCCCCACTTTCCAGCTCCCAAAAAAGCTTAACTTGTCTTTCCAGACGGGTTTCAGGACTCACGACAGTTTCGGTCATCAGGCATCCTGACATGCAAACTCCTTGTGCGTCTTGGTGCCCCACCGATCCATTTACTGTCCAACCCAGTCGCGTTTTTATGGCGAATAGCATTCCATCCCTTCCTGCTCTGACCTCCAAAGGTACCAGGGCCTGTGGCACATCTTGTCCTATCAGAATTTCTATGCGGTTGCTCTGCAATTCTGGTAATTCCACACCTCGCAGATGGGTCCACCTTGAGATATCACTTGTGTTCGCTACGGAGTTGTGCAGCGTTGTGGGGAAATTTTGTATAATGAGTACTTTCGGTATAAGTATGGTTCTGCCTCGTTTCATGCCTGCGCCAACCACTTCTAGATCTACCTCCGTTGACTCGAGTATCATCTCTTGGGCAAGTGTACCCATGGTTTCCAGGGTAGGTGTCCCTTTCACCCTTAGTTTCTGTGCCAGATCTTTGGTGCAATACGACCTGTCGCTGCCTGAGTCCAAGAGAGCTAAAGTTCTGATGTGATTTCGTTGTTGTGAGTCCTTTTCCCGAATCTTCACACTCACT